GTTTCTTTAATACTTCAAAAGACCATTGATAAGGCACAAAAATATTTCTTAAGTTTATAACAGATAACTTAGTTTTGCTTATGATTTATTGTGAGTGAAGAAACTGAAGATGGAAGGATTTATGATTTAATATGAAGTAGAGTGAAATATAAAAAAAATGCTCATTTAAATAATAAGTATTTTTGCAACTTCAAAATTGAAATTGAACATGTCAAAATAAATAAAAAGAAATGTATTTAAGGGAGATGAAGGTAAATCATGTGAAGGTTTTATTCGAATATTTTGGTCAGTTTTTGTCATATCAGCCTACACAAGATGATTTAAAAGTCATAACTTAAACCATAGATAAAACATAGTCCGTTGTTATCTATGCTTAAACGTTTCTATTAAGGCCATAAAGGTTGAATTTTGTTTCTATGAGCCTTGGCGGATGTGTAACTATTGTATGCAACAGACAAATGTAAAGATTAAAATGTTTCTAATTTGTGTCATCTTCCCGTTGCAAAGCACGGGTACAACAGATAGTATACAAAAACACATTAATGTTGTAATGAGTTACAAATGGTTCGTATGGTTTTTGTATATTTATGTTATCCAGCTATGTTTTTCTTGATCTTTAAAATACACTCCTGATCTTTTATTTTATCTTTTATCAATCTTTATTGTTCAGGTTACATTATCAATGCATTTTAACGCATAGCGCAAACCGCCATGTTTGCCCCCTCCCCCACACCTTATCGACCATCTTTTGAAATAGGCGACATACGTAATTTTGATCACCACAGTCCATATTACAATAATCAGCAATAATATTGCGTACTACTTTCATGCATACTCAAACCCCCTCAGCTCCTGGACTAACTGTTTCGTCGTCTAAAAGCCACTGTCGACTACGCTAGCGCTACTAGCATGTATCCCCATAACTAAAGCGCGAAACAGTTCGTCTATTCACCGCTAGGTGTCACTCAAACAAAACTTTTAATGTAGTGTAATATTATCAATAATTTAAATTGTATTAAGTACACTAAACAAATTTGACCTTATCCAAACAAATTATAAAGTTATTTATTTCAAATCAGTTACCAACATTCTGGTATTAAACGGTAGTAGAAATATAAAAACGCCGTTTTACTTTTTAGCACTCGCAGATTCTTTGTGTATCTCGCTCATATAAGGATCCTTTCAACTTCATACTATGCATTTATTTTCATCAATATCATATTAAATTCTTTGAAAAGCCGAGAGTCGACCTTTGGTAAGTACAAGGTCGACGATTGGCTTATAAACGGACAATGTACTAATGATCATCATATTATGATGTGGAAGATTTTTGTAATCGTTTAGAGAGTAGCAGTAGGCCTTTAATAGTTGAAAGATAATAGATTTTCAAAACTATTATTCCTACCTTTGTTGATGTTATTTTTTAACATGGTTTGTTTTGATTTCAAAATCGATATTTTCATAACTAATATAAATGTTGAATATTATTTATAACAGAGGATCATGGCCTTTTTAATTTCAAAGGTTGTTTAGAGCACTTTTTGCCTGTTTAGGGCATAGTTTCATTTCTCTAACTTCTGGTAGGTCAATGACTTTACTGAACCGACTGGACAATGTCAACTTGACCTTTTCAAGTAAAGTAAATCCATTCAGTAAAAATTCTGTCCACTAATTAATCAAATTAAAACTGTTTCATCCCTATCTATTTTAGACATTAAGATAGTTCATTCAAAGATGCACTTTTAAAATTTCATGATAATATTTACCCTGGTCCCCGGTATCTTTGTTATGCTGCAATTTTTTTTATCAAGAATATCATTATTTATTTAGTTAATCTATAAGTATAAAAGAGGATGTTTGTATATATATTTGTTTGTTTGTTTGTTTGTTTGATTGTTTGTTTGGCAGGGATAAACTCGGACACCGCTCGACAGATTGTAATGAAACTTTCAGGCATTATTAAGCATTATTCAAGGAAGGTTTGTGTGAAGTTTGGTGCTGATCCGTCAAAAGGGCTCCGCCCCAGTGGCTCTGGAGTTTCCCATGTTAACCTCATGAGAAATGGAATTAATGAATCTTAACAGCTGTTTCAATTAAACAAGTTGTTTCTGTTCTATGATGTTCAATAGCATTAAAGTTACATGGATTACCAACAGGATGCAGCACTATTATTTCTTTTACATTTATGACAACAGCTAATTTGCAACCAAAAGGTGAGTGAGCGTAGCGAACGAACTTCAACCTGGAGGCGAGTTAGCGTAGCGAATGAGCTAACCTGAAGGCAAGTGAGCGTAGCGAACGAGCTAACCTGAAGGCAAGTGAGCGCAGCGAACGAGCTCCAACCTAAAGGTGAGTGAGCGTAGCGAACGAGCTCCAACCTAAAGGTGAGTGAGCATAGCGAACGAACGTCAACCAGGACGTGATTGATCTGTACCTGGTTGTCTTTGTTTCAAATTCAATTTATTACATCTATAAAATTTAATTTACTGTAATAGGTATTCTCGTAAACATCGACAACGTGCTGTGTTAGTGCTCTGTGGTGCTGTGTTTGACGACTACACTAGCGCTACTAACATGTATCCCCGTAACTAAAGCGCGCAACAGTTCGTCGAGTCACCACTAGGGGTCACTGAGCCTAAATCTATAGAAGTGTTTTTAATAATATTAATAATCTCCCACTATCAAGGTACAAAATCAAATTCAGCTTTAGTTGAAGGAAAGCATCAATTTATAAATGATAAAGTATAAAGTAAAGTTTCGCGATTCAAAGCCGTGGTTGTTTACTATGAGAAGTCTGTAATTGTTGGCACTCGCAGGGATTTTTGAGTTGGTAGAACATGACTAGCTACTAAAATCTAAGGGCCTGATTCTATAACAGCCCTGTCCGGGGAGTTTCGGATTCCTGGACTAAATATCACGATTTTTTTTCAGGCAGAAGGCAGGATCCGATCCAGTGATCCAGACGATATTACGAAATGGTAAGGTTGCCTGATGTATAAATATAAATTACCATCAAATAACATTGTTTGAAAAGCCGAGAGTCCAGAGTCGTGTCACCTGAGACCGATGATTGGTTTATAATGAAATAACTTTATAACTGCACTACTGTGAGTTGAGCTATTTTCGGTATGTGCTTACAATCTGCGAAACATCATATTGTCAACTGTCACTCTCCACACAATATTCCTTTTAGGCTAGGCATATTCTATGTTTAATAACAGAACGATATACAAAATTACAAAAGGTATTTTATTGAAACAAAATGAACAGACAGATAGGTAACAAAATTAAAAAGGCCAAGTTAAAATGAAAGGGCTGACAATGGAATGTGGGCTTAAGTTTCAATAAATTGGAAGATTAATTTGAAATTTAGGCTTATTAGGGTCAAATGGACATTAGTCTAATTTAAATGGGCTCATCTCAGGGTAGGGTGTCGTGCTGACTTGAATGCAAAGAATGAATGAATTAAATAAGTTAATGTCCAAATAGTTAAAGTGTTTCACTTACAACATTCCAACAATGAAAATCTAATTTTGAGGCTAAGTCCAAAATGTGCACTGAATTTACTATGTTTAGTGAGTTCAAAATAAAAATGTATACTTTTTTTTTGGAAATAATATTGCACCTAAGTCATCTTGAACTGATTAAAAGAACTGGATTGTATATTAAGTTGTTTGTTGATATTATTCATTCTACTCTAATATCAACAAACAACTTAATATACAAACCAGTTCTTTTAATCAGTTCAAGATAGGATCAGAGATGCAATGAAACATACACTGTATTTGCTATTGCATTTTTTAGTCCTTGATGCTTTGATAATCATATTAGATTTGTCTATGGTCTTTAATGCTAAATTATTTGTTTAAACATTTTTATAGTATATAGTTTTCTTAATACCTCAAAAGACCATTGATAAGGCACAACAATATTTCTAAAGTTTATAACAGATAACTTAGTTTTGCTAATGATTTATTGTGAGTGAAGAAACTGAAGATGGAAGGATTTGTGATTTAATATGAAGTAGAGTCAAATGTAAAAAAATGTTCATTTAAATTTAATAATTAGTATTTTTGCAACTTCAAAATTGAAATGGAACATGTCAAAATAAATAAAAAGAAATTTATTTAAGGGAGATGAAGGTAAATCATGTATGTGAAGGTTTTATTCAAATATTTTGGTCAGTTTTTGTCATATCAGCCTACACAAGATGATTTAAAATTTATCAAAACCAAAATGTTGTTAGCCACTACATCCCAGTGGCGTAGCCTGAGAGGAACTCAGGGAAGTGAATATGCCTATGATAATCCTAGATATGTGGACCATCTTGTGCTTAATTTTGGCTTTATCGGTTTAGTATTTTAGTCGTCACAGCCACCCAAACAGACAGACAGACTTACACAACCTCAATTTTATAATAGTATAGAAAGATAGATAGATAGATAGCTAGAATCTACCAAAGGAGTAGATAAATTATCGAAACTATAAATCTTGAATGAATACTTGATAGTTTTGACTCTTTTGTTAGTTTTTGGATGGTTCGCACACAACATTGTCTGAGTAGTCGATAAGTTAAGGAGCCTTAAAATATGAAGGTTGATGGCGTGATTCAAAAAAGAACAATACTTTCTGGGCCAGATGCCAATATTTGTGAGCTAAATGATGCTACGAGTACATATCAAGAAGGTTGACGATAGTAACAAGACCTAGATATCATTATAGTAACAGTAAATATGATAAAGTAACTATATCATATTTGTTACCTATCGCATTCCTTGCTGTCGTTAATAAAATGGCAAAATGTGCGTGAATTGGCTTAAAAACTACTTAAAGTCTCAACTGAATTTTTAAATCATATATGTTAATATAAATTTCGTTTTGTGTTCTATTAAAAAAAAATGTAAATCTTTACCGTAAAAATTGCATATTTTTCATTTAAGCCATTATATGCTGGACTTAATATATTTGAATAGATTAAAAATAATTATCTACAATTTTACCTCTTCTATCAGTGATCTTAGCGGAGACCATTGTTGGGATGACGACGAAGCACACACAAACACTCACAGACCACATCATGACTGACCAAGGGTTCTGCTCGGTCAGCTCGCAATATTTGTAGGGTTGTGGTGGGCCAAACATTACCAAGTATAATCCCGCTATCACAGGAAGAACACATGTCTTTATCACTAACGGCTGTCGTACAAGAGTTAGAATTAGCAATCTGCCACTCACGCCTCTATAGTGATTGTATTCGGGGAATCGTAAACCTACAAGGAAGTACCTGATAGGACGAATAATTACAGTTATCTACCCTATTAGTGTTTACAATTAACAATTGAGATTGCCAAAATCTTATAGATTGCAAAAATTTTCTTACATATTTCTCAAACGTGGAATGTTTTTAATCTTCCCTTACTAGGTTCAGGTACTTTATGGATTATATCTTTGACTATGAAATCACTGTTCTGAATTAAAGTATTTGATTCTCATTGTAATACATTTTTGAGGATAAATAAACTCAGTTTTCTGAAATTACTGAGTATGCTGTTGCAAAAATCTAGTTTTCTAAAACCTAAAATACCGTACCAAACTAAAAGAGCAACATATATCTTACATATCTTAAATTTCATAGTGTACAACCATGAAGTCCTTTACCAAAAAGGTCCCAGCCACTATATTGTTTCAGCCACTACAAACCCTATAAATTTTTGTTACTTTAATTTCTACGCCATCGGTTTCAGGGGTGCGGTTCGACCTACGTTCTTGTTCACCTCCGTTCACAGAATAAAAAGTAGCAATTCTTATTCTGTAAAATCATTATTCAGTGTTACGATATATCGACGTTTTGTTAAGCATCATTATTAAAATCCTAATGAGAAATTTACATCTGAAGAAACGATCACGCTTTAAATCAAACCGAAACTGTACAAATCGGCTGTAAATTCATCAGCCGACTCCGTGAGCACTCTTTTCGCTTACAATACGTAATAGTTACCGTATTGTCCTCAACTGTTTAAACTATATATACAAAATAAAAAACAATCGTCCAAGACCAAGATATTAATCATACTCGTACGGTAAGCCAACTAAAACGAGTTGGCAGAGTAGCCAACACAACAAATATCGATGTCGAGCGACACAGTAGTGATTGACAGCATTGGTGGCTCTCTTCAAGCATAATATTTCAAAGTGCAGCCCTTAGCCCAAAACACGTTTGATGCATCACTGTTATTGACAATGGATTGTGGTTCTGGCCCGTTTATAGGGTGAAAATATCGAGCAAAGCTTAAACTTTTACAATGGTTTTTTTTTTATAATACAAATAGGTTTTACATGAATTAATCACTCAACATAGTTGAATATCATCGTCACAAACCATCAATGTGCAATAGTTATTTTTTGTAACTACACACGTTTTTTGTAGTTATTTTTGTTAGAGATTTTTGTATCTATTTTTTGAGCGGAGCGAGCGAAGCGAGCGAAGCTCTTTGGGATCAACTTCAATGCAAACAATATAACACCATCACTCAATAACGGCTGAACACATTTCAGCCAAACTTAACAAGACTACTTAGACTAATAATGAGATGGTTGATGGTTTGTAAACAAACAAATTTCAATTAGATAATGCTAATGCAATTTAAAACGAACTTAAAATTTCAAATTTTTAACATTAGGCTTATGGGACTAAAGTAGCTATGACAGTTTTTTTGTTTACGAGAAAAATGTAAACAAGAGAATCATAAGGTATTTCTGAACTTTATATACTTTTCTTTTAAACGTTTTTAAACCATTCCTATGATTTTAATAAACAAGAAAATGACGTTAAAACATTTTTTAAGGCGCGGAATTCACTGAAAATCGAGAAAATATACGGAACTACTTTCTCAATGCGCGGAGCATAAACAAGGAGCGGAGGGATACGGACCGGTGACTACTTTCTTGGGAACCTATTTGTGTTGCCAGCTGATTAGAAACAGCCAATGTTAGAAATCAGGATTTAATAAGCGATATATCGAACCGCATCGAAATCGGTATTTAATCCGATAATACCTCATAGGTTATATTATGTTGAATTACATCGACGGTACAGTAAGTTATTACACTTATTGATAAAACGCAGATTGAACACTGATCTAATTTAGGCATGTGGGGAGGTAGGTCGGGGTTTATGAGTATTCATGACTACATTAAGTGTTTTGAAGTAATGTTAGATTAGGAAGGTAAAGTGTAGGTTATAGGTAGGTGATCGGGTTGTTTATTTGTGTTGCACCATATATTTTTTATCTTTTGGAATGGAATAGTTGGTTAAGGTTAAACGGGGAAACGATTTCAAAAATGCTTGCATATGGTCTTAACTTAACAAACCATATACAGTATTCTAGCTTTGACTTTATATAAAGTCAATGATTCTAGCAAATTATTACATACTGACAAAAAGAAATGAGAACACTTGGATTTGGACCTTTGACCATGGTAAAACTAACATATAATTTATGGAATGTGAAAAGTTGTATTTCATTATATACTATTCTGTAATATTAATAATTGTTCGGTAAATCCTCATTTTAATGGCTCGGCTGAAAATGGAATCTGCATTTTGTGAAACAGTAATTTGGTAACAATTCAGTCATTTCAAATGTTGATAACAGTAGCCTATCCTATATAAATACTGTTATTTGATTGCCAAGCCACGGACTATACATACGTCCAGTTACAACCGTAATAAGTAAACCTGGGCTTATAGACGTACACTTTTAACCACGGTATGGATAATTGTCTAGGCCTGTCCAGAAGTAGGCTACTAATTTCTAATTATAGCCTATTATCTACATTGTATATTTAAGGCATGTCTTCCCTACTTATTATATTATTCTGTTTTCACTTAAATCGGCTGAATGCGATGTTTACTTATTACTTATGTTTATGCCTACATTTCAGCCATCTTATTTTATTGTTCAATAAGTAAATCTTTTTGCAGTTTTTACGTTTTTACACATTGAAATACATGACTGATAATTCAGTTTATTTTAGTCTTTTAAAGGCGTTTTACATTTGAGTCTTACATTAAAATAGCCCTACATTTTTCGTAGGCCTATATTTTATCTTTGACTATCAAAACAACTAGACATTCCATCCCCATGTTGAATTTGTAGCCAGCATTGTCATCAAAATCTACTGTATTCAATGGTCAATAGTATTATTAAGGCCAGTATTAAAATGCCGTCGCTAAATCGTCCTAATAATGGCAGAAGACCTACATTCCAGTTACATTACAATCATATCCTCCATCAAGAATACTTGGTATGTGAAAAGTTGTATATCATTATATACTATTCTGTAATATTAATAATTGTTCGGTAAATCCTCATATTAATGGCTCACGATAATCATAAATAATCATAAATAATCAATAATAAATAATAATGAATAAATAATTCATATAATCATAAACTATCTCCAGCAAAGAAAGCTGAGTTCAACCGATGTTTATGCTGCACAGTTGAATTTAAATGTCACATTTCCTCTCCTGTTGTTATACAATACTCGTTTTTTAATAGGTACCTACTGTTTTTTTATACTTAAATTAACCAATTGTAAGGGTGAAAAATGAAGTCCAATGTTTTTGTTGTAGGCTAAAGTTGAATTTGAATGTTAAATTTCCTTTCTCTTTTTTATACTTTAATGCCCTTTTTGGATGTTAATATCAGATTCGAACTACTGTAATATTTTCCTGGTCAAAACTACCATAATGCACTTCTCGAAGAGGTAAATTTGAATTATTATAATTTTAATCTTTAAAACCAGCATTTAGTAAATAAATCTATTGACCTTTTTACATTTAGTTACTTATACAAATATCAAATCACGTTTGTTCCGCTCAACTGGCTTTCACCTCTCTGAAAGCAACCCTAGTATTTTTGTTGTTTCTTAGGAATCTGGAGTCAACTTAAGTTTACTATAAGTTGTGTACCTCAAAACGATCGTTGTTCAAATTAAACTGCATAACTGTTCCAACCCGTTTAAGAAACATCATACAAAATGTGCCTAATTGTTATTTAAGAATAACTATATTATACAAGCAGAAACTAACGTTTACTAAATATTATTCTAGAATTCATTCAAAGACCAAAGATGCATAGGTACTAAAACTGTTGCTAATTCAACAACAACAAATAGATTCGATGACAACACCGACGCACCTAGTGTGTATTTTAAGGCGAATATGACCGTAGTATAATATTTTTTACAAAAAAATATTAACATTTTTGGTGATGGTTATAACGTTTTTTGTTTCCTGAAAAGTGCAGATTTTACATAAGACATTTTGCATAAACGTCAACGATATGTTGGATGAATGAGATATTATATTGCTTTGTTATTGATTAAGATCAGATGGCTCTAGGACGTATAAGCCCAATTATAAAAGAAAGCTGGGTCCAGCTTCGAACAATTAAAAATACTAGTGAACCTTTTGCTCGCAATCGACCAATTATCAAGTACAGGTATTACAGGAGTTGTTTTAAAACTAACAACAGTAATAATTTTTGGTGAGTTTAAAAGACTCAACTAAAGCTAATGTAAACTGATGGAAATACTCACGCTGTCCATAACAGTTAGATTTAATAAACATTTCTTGAAAATATTGGTTAATCTTTTAGAAGCTGACCTTGTTTTAAATGTTTTCTAAAAGATGTTTCCGACTTACCAATAGCCGCATAAAGTATTCCATGTTGTCTTCGTAATTGTTACTGTAGCCTACCTGGTACCTACCAAAACCAAGATGTATGGAGTAAAAGTGCATTACATTACCTCTATGTTGCAGGCATTTTACAAAATTCAATTATTTTTTTAACAGCGATAAATAGCGATAAATATTGGTCAAATTACTCATCCAAGTATTACCCGATTTCCTGCATAATCTGCATAATCACAGTTTTTGCTTCAAAATGCATTCTTTTGGTTAGTTTTGATGTAATGATGTCGATGTCGATTATATTTAACTGTAAAAATGCAGAGTCAATAGGTCTGATGTTGTTCGGGTTAATCTAACGTAAGTCATTTTCTTATTTACATTATAAACAAATAACGTTACAATATTTTACTTGATTTACCTAAAACATCAATACAACATATTGTGAAAACACAAAATCCTATTACAACACAAAATCTAACACGTACGGTAGTCATTTTCTTATTTACATTATAAACAAATAACATTACAATATTTTACTTGATTTCCTTACATCAATACAACATACAACAAAAACACAAAATCCTATTGCAACACAAAATCTAACGTAACACGTAGTCATTTTCTCCTTTACATTTTATACAAATAGCATTACAACATTTTACTTTAATTCATTGAAACATCTCCAACTACGCATAACCCCATATTTTCGTATGGATGTAAAAAGTTTAATCTATAGCCAAACATAACACACAACTTTCAAAATAATCTTCTCTTGTCCACTAAATAATCATATATAAAAGGTTGAATAATATCATAAATATTCTCAGTTACATTATACAATTTAGAGTGAAGTAAAATATTTTATGGATTGCTGTCTATTTCCTCTGTTGAAATGAAATCATACTTTTTCAATTATTGATTGTAGGGCCTATTTATTAAAATAGGATTTTTGTAGCTAGTCCTACATTATTTATTTGGAAACGAAAAAATGGCAATTAACTGTGTACCTATGACGTTTAGCTGAGTAGATTTCTCAGCCTTATGGAACAGCTGAAGACAATTTTATTGTTAGTTCTGTCAGGTGCACTATAGAGGTCATATTTTGTAAACAATTTATTTCTTGTTATTTCAATCATTTAAAACCTCATTTAACCAATTAAAACGACCTACTCATAAACAATAACTCGTCCTCTACTTATATAACCAACATTCATCAGTGGTCAGTGTCAACATGAAATAGACACGTAAATCGAGCTTCAAAATTTACAATGGGATGTGAAGTTTTCTTTTGTTGGTTAGTCCATGGTAAAACGTGTGTATTGCTATTGTATTATCATAGATAAAACATAAACGAGGAGTATGTTTTATCTATGGTATTATCATAGATGGGGGTATGTTTAATCTATGGTATAATTCATTTTTCCTTTTTGTCTGTCTGAGGTTAAGGTTGGCTGCCCTGATTGGCTAACATTCCTATCTTACATATGTGTTTGTAAACAGAACAGAACAGATTAACAGTAACAGACGACAGTGAGCCAACGAATTGTATCAGTATCAATAGTGAATAGCAAGATTATAAGGAAGATGTCCAGTATTTTTACGCAAATTTTTAAATGCTTTTTCGTCTTAAATATCTTCATGCCTTTATGATAGCAATTTAGGGTGTTGATGTGCAAAACTAGAAATGCTAAAACATTCTTGGATGTTTGTTTTCAAATTATGATGGTTAAGCATTACAAAGCCGGCGTTGTTGCGTATCAGGATTAGGAATGACCTTGTTTATGTTGTTAGATTTCTTTAGCCTATTTTGAACCTTTGTCAGTGATGTCGTGATTTATATCTAGCAAATTTGATCATCACCTGTTGATAGTATTGATTACAGAAATGCTTAAAAACTGCATATTAATCTCTGCTGTTGCAAACAAAGGTCTAGCAACTGCCACCAATGTAGCAGGTTGTTTAAGTAACTTAGCCATTTCAAGAAAGATACATGCACCTTCTTCATCTAGAAGTAATGAACTTAAATCGGCAAACCATGAACAATCTGAAAAACTTCCTGATTTTTCAAAAGTTGTAATATGTGGTGGTGGTGTATTAGGCGCATCTGTTGCTTATCATTTAGCAGAGTTAGGCTGGGGAAAACACACAGTTGTGTTGGAACAAGGGAGGTAAGTCAGCATTTGGCTTTAGTTAATTCCTCATAGCCGGAGTTTGTATTACTACTCATCGATTGAATAGGCTACAGATAAGTAGTTGTCTGTATATAGGCTAAGTAAATAAATCTTAGGCTTAAACACGGTATACCTACTATAAGTTACTGTGTACCTGTTTCATTCGTTTTTAATAAGAAACACCCTGGCCTGAAAAACTTACGCTGTGGCCGCGTTCACATTGGCCAAACTACGTTCACCACAGCACAGAGAAGTAGGTGCAGAGGATAGCCTACACGCTTATGGGACAACCCTGCACTTTCAGCTCTGGTGGTGTGACGGAAATAAACTAGTAGCGAGCAAGGAAGAGCCCGAAGGGCAGGCTTTGTGTGGAAATTCCTATCACACAGGGTCTTCCTCCATCGTTTAAGTACTGTAGTAGTAAGTTACATGAGAGCGTTGGACTTTGCCCTAGACACCAGCACCAGTGCTAGACACCATTTAGACCAAGTGTGCCATGGAGTGTAGCCTATTCTCTGTTCCTTACTTCTCTTTGTGGCTACAGTGAATGTTTGGTGTTTGTGGTGTAGTGAGTGTTTGGGTACAAACACGTCGTCCAACATTCTTAACTTAGTGTGATAGTGGGGTAGCATTTTACTTTTCTTGTTTTGGCATAAATGTTTGCTTTGCTTTGTGGAAAAACTTAACTTAAGTCATTGAAAATGAAAAGGGTTACAACAACCTATCATCTCTGCTTTTGAGTGTTGACCATTAAATTAGCTGGTCCTTCTCACCATCTCAATACCTGTTTATGCTATCACTGACGTTGGGGTCGATACAGCTACAGCATAATGTAATATGCAGCAGAGTAACTTAAACAGTACAAACAAGTTATCAAATCAAATCCATTTATTGCCATCAACGTTAAAATACATGTATAGCAATGTCATATCAGTTTTCATCATAATATTTTCATTCCTTTATACTTTATACTTTCTTATGAAATGGTGACCATACAAAGTAGGTAGGCCTACGGTATTTTAAGCCAAGTATGAATAGAGGTGAGTGTAGGATGAGTGGCGCGATCTTGTAGTCTTGTTAGTGACTAATTAATAGCCCAAACAGCTAATGGCAACAAAGGGACCTAGTGGAATCCGAACCACATTTTTTCCTTGGTATTTATACGAATTGGTCTAATTATCAGGATATTACTGCGGATAGTTGTAGTACTCACTTGTGCGGATGTCAATCCACACTAGGGAGTATCGCATCCACAGTGCATGCCTAAATTTCCACAATTCGTGACCTAGTAGCTGGATTACAGAAAGACGCCACCCGTCCCAGTCTTGATATGTTAACAAAGGTTACTTAAAATGCTGATGAGTATTAAGTGTAGGCCTATGTCATCTTCCACTGACAAGAATCTCAAAAGTGAAATTAGAGGAAACATTTGTCCTCCATTTGGTTTGGCAAACATTTAAATAACCTCGTTGTTCAACCTCACTGTTTGACCTATTAAACCTTTCAATTTTCACTAGCCTAAGTTGGTTCTTTTTTAAATTTTTGTTTTACCCTACTTAAAATTAGGCCTAACTTGCAGTTTATTAAATTACCAAAAATGAGTAAGTTATTTGTGTCATGAAGGGTCACTGATAGGCTCAATTTTAGCAAAGATTTATGTAGGTACGATAACAGCACTGTTGATTACTAAATGTAGACAAATTCTTGCTACTTCAATAACCCAATCTTTCAATGTTTCTTGTATAATTTGCAGGTTGGGGGGTGGAATGACCTACCATTCTTCAGGCCTGGTTGGAGTGTTTAAGCCAAGTCGAGCTCAGGTCAGGCTTTGTAAGGAAAGTGTCCAGCTGTACAGTAGCCTATCTGCCCAAGGAGTCAATCTTGGATGGACACAGTGTGGCAGCCTGAACGTAGCCAGAACCAGAGACAGAATGACACACTTCCGCAGGATGAAAGCCGCATCAGTGTGAGTAATCATTACCAAGGTACCAAACGTAGTTTTTATGATGTCTATTTTTTGTTTGGTCTACGCTTGCGACATTTTGAATAATATAGGTATACTACTACTAATAAAAGCGGGTCGAACCCTTATTTTTATGTCGAAGATCCAATCCGTCTTTCTTGTTTTGAAGTCTAAGACGTTAATCACTAGGCTAGCAACATATGATACATCTTAAATTGCACCACTAAACTGTCATTAAAACACAAGACCAAAGTTGTCCTATTTAGAACAAAAATTCTAATGCATTCTTTATAATTTTAGCTCCAAGGACAATCATAACTGTGTTTAATTTGATTATTTTCCAGCTATTTTAGGTCATATGTTAGAATTAGTTTTGGGATTCCCCTTATTAAATTTTAGACCTTCAGTAAATTTTATAAAACTCAGCAGGTTCATCGTTAGTGAAAGTAGGCCTATTTTTTATTGCTAGAGCTCTATATTAAAAATTGAAACTGCCAAAGATATATTTGCATTGTTGGCCTTAAAACAAAAAAAAAAATATTTTTTTGTGATTAGTATTCTTTTGTTGTATTGGTGCCATTCTAGTGATGAGAATTTAGGACTTCTGCAGTTAGGGCCTCAGATTAAAACCCCATCAATCACCAATGAGAACTCGTTAGGCACGTAATAAGGCCATGACGCACACTGGCGGGGATAAGGCCCTTTACAGACTCTCTGTTATGGGGCAGGGGGTCCCAAATTGGGAAAGTTTATTATTGCTAAACATAAGCTGGGTAGCCTACTAGTTACACCATGCCAATGTTTAGTTATATTTTTTTTGCTTTGTTCAAACACTGTATACATTTCATATACATACAATATGCACATGTTTTGTAAAATACAATTGAAAACAAGCTATCCAACTATTTTGTGGTCAGATGGAGGGATTTCACAGCAGCAAAGTAGGATACTGGAAGATGCATTCAGCTTTAAGAAAAATGTTATGGATATCTTTAAATTACACTCCTATACTAATAAAATCACCTGTGTTTTCTTATGATTTATCAAGATTTTTATAGGCCTATGACTTATTTCTATTTAAATACAAACTCAGCTTGTATAAAGGCCCTAAAAAGATTTTTTCTAGGGGCAACTAGAAATGTTAATGCTGCCACTGATGATATAGTAATTTAGAGTTGACTATCAAATAAGTTCTAAATGACACATTTTTAATTTCATTCATATTTTTTTTGTAAAAAGATCTCCTTTCATCAGAAAACCAGACAATAATTAAACGTATGTTTGTGTTCCTCAGAGCCCTCGGTATAGAGTGTGAATTGGTCACTCCAGAACAAGCTCAGAAACTTTGTCCGATCATCCAAGTAGACGATCTGAAGGGAGGACTCTGGATACCAGGAGATGGGGTGTGTAACCCGTACGAGATGTGCATCTCATTACTTGAACTGGCCAAGCAGAAAGGTAAGGCGAGTGTTGGTGTGCAAACATTTAGTTAAGAAATAAACTTCTAGTCTCAATTATTTTACTTGAATTTACCACTAAATTATGTTTTTGGTGCCTAATCTTTTATAAAAATATTTGTTTATGACAAGTTAATTTAAGTAAAACTACAAAGGCTGTAAAGGAATGAAACCATGGACAGGACAAAATATTAACTATGGTGACATGATCTTGATTAGATTCACACCAGAGTGTCCCGCTAATCCAAATTCCAAACCTCCTGTTGGACTGTATTTAAAGTAAAAACTAGGGGTGTGCGAATAGTGATTTTCAACCTCGAGCCGAGCCGAGCCGAGCTTTTTAAAATATTTTCGAGCTCGAGCTTTTTCGAGCCGAGCTTTTCCTAGCGTCACCTTATAATAATAATAATAATAAATCTTTATTGTCGTTTGGTAATATAAACATTACAATAGACAAGGTCAACATGTTTTGTTACATATGTTAAATAAAATATTAAATATTCTACAGAAAATGTTAAAATAAAGTTAAAAGAATCTTAAAAGGATAAAGCATCAGTAATAATAAAAACTTTAAAATTAACAGGGAAAAGACCATAACAAGAACAAAGAATCATCAAGACTGCTTGGCCTCACATTTAAGCGTTAAAAAATCTTCATTCTGCAAAAACTCATCAACTGAATAAAAAGCACGACTTGTAAGCCAATCTGATAATTTTGACCTATACAAATTAATACTTTCCTGATTTCTAAAATGTATTGGAAGTTTATTAAATAGTTTTATTTGCAAATATTTATAACTTTTGATAAATTTTGATAGCCTGGCTTGAGGAATATATAAATCTTTTGATTGTCTGGTGATATACCCATGGATTGAGTTTCAAGGAACAAATTTATTCAGATTATCTTTAACGGAAACTAAATTGTAAAAAATGAAAATATTAGAGAGTGTCATGATTTTATTTTCAGCAAAAAATGTTTTGCAACTAACCCTATCTGGAATTTCAAACATAATTCTGAATTCTGAACATTATCAAAAAAATAAATTATTAAACATTTTTCTTCAAAAAGTGCATAATAATAATAATGTTCAGTCAATTTTTAAATAAACACAATATTATTTTAATATGTCTAAAAACATTGAGAATTGTCAAGACATCAAATAGTAGATAATCACGATAAGAACTGAACTGAACTAAATTAAGATGCAAGAAATAAAAGGATATGATTGAAGGCCTGACGAGATATGCAGTGCAGACTGAGCCAATCAGATTGTCTTTCATAACAGAACAGCGCTATCTTGAATGACAACAAAACAACTAGCAAGTCGATTAAATGATTAAATACGTATATTGTAACTACTATGAATACTTTATTCCATTTTGTATAAATAAATAAATATAAAAACACGTGATTATTCTTGTTGTTTTCCATGCACAAAATATTTTTGTTTTATGAATCGTATTAATCAAAAAAGAACATGATTGGTTTGGATCCAAAAAGGTGAAGAGACAAAGTAAAAAGTAAAATTATATATTAAAAAATATATAATTGACATATAGAGGAAATAGACCAAAACACTAAAATTAATAGAATAACACACAAAGTAAACAAGAAATGAAATAATGAACACGATGATTTAACACTGTCACTAAATTCTGTTATCTAGAAGGGTCGGTGAACTAATCAATAAATAGCCAAAACCAGTTTCCTCCCCCATTTCTCTCTCAGTCTCACCACCACCCCTCCCCCCCTGAGCCGGGAGGCCCAGCACTTTGTCCTTGAAACACCCTAGCCTCTGAAACAATAAACCCTTACACCGGCGTTGCTGTTTTGACAACAGAGTTATGAATGCATTCACTATTTTTCATTTTCCAGGATTAACTATCAATTATTATTATTTGCAAGTTACAAATAGGAAACTACATCACATTATGGTATTCAATGACCCATGTATTATCAAAAATTAATAATCCATTACTTATTTTGATAATAAAAAGCATTCATTACAGCACGCACCACTTATTGATATTTAAATAATCATCAAAGTAACTGTTACTTTATACAAAATAAAATAGGTACAAAATTGTGTGGCCAGTCAAACTTTATAAACAAACATTTTATTCTATAAAAAATACAGATGGTAAATAGGGGTTGGTTTAAAGGAAATAAAATACAAAACAGATAATTAATTATTTTGATAAACATTAGAAAGGTTATGGGATTGATTGAACTAAAATAACCGCAGGGAAACTTATAAGTAGAAAAGTCGTCACTGTTCAATCAGTACATTGTTAGAGAGAGCAGAGAGAGAAAGAGAGATAGCAGATAGGGGCGTTTGATAAAGGAATCTGAAAAAGTAAACAAACAAGGAACAACGACACGACACGACGATTGATACTTGTTTACAGCCTTATTGTGTCGCCCACTACATTTGCACACGTGACCACTTTTTGTTTCTTCCTTATCTTTCATCCGTCCCAAAATAGAATTCCTGAAATTGTTTGTTGGTATAATCTCCCCTCCCACACAAGGCGCAGTGCTCAGTGCGCACTGTAGGTTGCCACGGCAACCGTGTGTCGTCATAGCGACGAGCCAATCACGCACTCGCACTGCGTTGTATATTACGATACGAATAGCTGTGTTAGAAAGACATCGCGATAGGTGGTATTTTGTCTCTTTACTATCTCCTCAAAATTACGATCGATAATCATTGCGTCTTGACTGAGCTGAGGTTCGTGCTTATCAAACCTTGAATGCTTGAACAACGTAGAATTGTGATAACATTGTTTCTAATTACGACCCAAATTAAGTGTTTTTTTTTTAGTTTTGACTTAGTATTAAAAGCTCGGCTCGAACTTCGAGCTTTTTCAAAATGCCTCGAGCCGAGCCGAATAATGAAAAGCTCGACCAAAAAGCTCGAAGGTTCGAGTACTCGCACACCCCTAGTAAAAACCAAGCTGTGCGTTAATACTGACCATGGTGCCAATGAGGAACCACAAATTTTAATGCCGGCTTTTATAAATGACCAAAATTGTTCGTGAATTTTGTATGGAATCGAGATATTTAAAAAAAAAACCCCTATGGCTGAGCACCAATTCATTGGGCGTTCTGTCGGTTCTATTGTAAGAACGACTTGTAGTAAAAAGAATTTCATTGCGAGAGCTTACCACAGATGTTGCCACAATCGCGTAGATTGAATATTTCTGTGATTGCAGTGGATGATCATGGTATTGTTAAGACTTTAGAAATGATCTCTTTGTTTTCGCTGATCTCAGAAAACAATAAAGATGTAGTGGTAATTTAGGGAGTAATGTTAGGCCATGAACTGTTGAAAAATTCATTGTTCAATCATTTTTACTTCCCGGATTGTGGTAGCGCCAAGCGGTTTAAATCCCGCCAATCACCTATGGATTTTATCTATGTAATAATGGCTAGGACTTTCTAGGACTAGCCTTAAGTAGACCTAATTTGTAAACGGTTATGGGCTAACTAGCGCCCTAAGATGTTTAGGTGGGATATAAAAAATATATCTTACACAAATATATTGAAAATTGTTCAAAAACCATTTTCAAGTTGATGTTTGTATATACTGTATAAGTACTTTCTACTGAACAACTAGCTATATACTGATGGTGACCGGTGATTCGCAGGTGTACAAGTATACGAGTTCTGTGGTGTAGACAAGGTGTTGACGGAAGGTGACCGTGTATCCGGCGTGGAGACCAACCTGGGTGTGATGGGGTGTGACACGTTCGTAAACTGTGGTGGCTTCTGGGCACGACACATCGGCCAGATGAGTGACCCAGTGGTCAAAGTGCCTTTACACCCGGTTGAACATTACTACCTACACACAAAGCCTATCGAAGGGTTGGATCCTTCGACTCCTGGTATGTATTTTTTTGCGTTTCTATGCCTATTTTTACCGTCAGCATTATCTATCAGAGAATCGGATAACAAATAAAAATGTCTCAAAGGCAAGTTTCTTCGAGGTTCAAGTTTTAGTTGTTGAAAATAAGTATTTTTTGTTTCGTCCTTGCGTCAGAAGCAGTGTCATCTTTGCTCTGAGATAATGAATTGCCAAATCAGTTGAAATTCCTCTTAAGTCAAATCCCTTTGACTTTCAAGATCAATTCATTAGAAGTAGACACAGGCCTATGTCTTTTTGTGTCTTTGCGTCAGCAATAGTGGTATTTTTGCTCAGATATACCGACAGCCAGACATTGACATTGTTTTGTTGTGAAAGTCGTAATGTTCTGAAGGTTTATATTTTAATCTGTGATAATATTTTGTTACAGTAATGAGGGATTTAGACGGTCAGGTGTACTTGAGACAGCATGATGGTTGTTTGCTCGCCGGCGGATTCGAACCTATCGCCAAACCTGCCTATGAGGATGGAAGTGTGCCTTGTAAGTATCTTAAATTTGTAGTTAGATTTTATTTCATGTTTTATACCTTTGGATCTCCGTATGTATTTCAATGAAATATAGTGAAATATTCCTTGTAATATGCAATCGTGTTTTGTATGATTTTAGGTAAAAAATTTCAACAAGGTTCAATTTAGGTATTTTTTTTTTTTTGCACAAGAAATAGTGAACAGCTCTATAAAAATTGTTTGTGTGTTCACACCCTCATTTTTTAATACGGTCCTGGTTATATTTTGAGAACATTTTTAAACACTTTTTTGTTAGTTGGTGACTGGTCTATGCTGTCCTTGATCTTTGAGCTTTTAGCTTAATCATATCCAAAGAATCTGAAATATCAGATAGCTTATATTTCCTCTAATCATTTGTTTCATATTACTGAGATTTTGATCCGGTTATTGATAATTTGATTGTATCTTACTATGTTTATAGAGTTTTAATGTGTAATTTTAGTTTTATTCTTGCATAGTTTATACCGTAGTTGTTTATTTTCTATGGCACTTTTGAATTTGTTGACTAGAATTAAAAAAATTCTGTTATTCCAGTAGAAGTGATGGAAGTGGAATTGGAACTGCCTATGAAATTCTTTCATCCCGATTTTCCAGAACCAAACAAAAACGGTATCAAAATATTATTTTGTTCGGTGGTATAAATGTGGTTTGTGTCCAATGAAGGGGTGTCTAAACAAGGGAATTCTTCATTATTTTGAAGATTTGTAATTCACCTCACCTCTCTATAACCATTCAAACCAGTAGGGATTTCCCTTCATGATACTTACACTCATTCTCATCCATATTCTTGTATATCCTAACCTTGGTTATGATATAAACAAGGGAATTCTTCATTATTTTGAAGATTTGTAATTCACCTCACCTCTCTATAACCATTCAAACCAGTAGGGATTTCCCTTCATGATACTTACACTCATTCTCATCCATATTCTTGTATATCCTAACCTTGGTTATGTCTTATATACTGATACCTTGTATAACTTGGTCTCACAAGGCAGGTTTAATCTCGTAAGTGGTTTAGGTTAAAACTATTTAACATAACACTTTGTTTAACGAAAAATATGTTATTAGACTCCTTCAAAAATAATTGATCTTAGGTTTCAATAGTCGAAATTCAGGTTGATCAGACTAAACTGTGACTTTCAAGAACATTTCTTTGAAATTATACCTCGGCTAAGCTGCTGATTCTACATCTTTGTCACCACTGGTGTTAGAGCCGTAAATGATCACATCCCTCAAGAAACAATAATGAGAATTTAATTTTGTCTATTTGCTGGAAAATCTTTCCTTTCAAGTTGTAGTTACCTTTCTTTCCTTTAAGTAATTTCTATTCCATTTTTTATGTCCTACCTTCACATCCTAGGACACTAGTTATAGCCCAGAATTATTTTACCCATTACTTCAGGCTAATCCCAGAAGGTTGCAGCATTATCACAAAGAAAAAATCCATTAGTGATTAGGAGGATTTGAACCTGGGCACTGAAGCCCCGCGCTCTACTACTAGACATGCTCACTTCCCATTTCTATAATAGTAGACATTTTTTTTTACTTCTACAAGACATGGGTCAAAGTCTTACCCAAGAGCTCAGCAAGAAAGAATCATATTGCCATCATTAATTATACGACTGATGGTTATATAGGTTTTAAAACAAAACATTCTCTCTATAAATATACACAACTAACTGAAAATGATATTATTATTGGTAGTTCAACCTCGTACGTTGAGTCCTAACATATTCAACAAGGTTAAAGCTGAAATTTTACAACATTTAATGAAAAAAACTTTCTGAGGTACGTTTACCTTTCTTATGTGCATGATCAGTGTAAACAATGCATGAAAATTTTTTACACTATTAAAAACACTTGGTTTTAATGTATAAAAAGTTAAACATGATAATAACGAGGAAACGTACCAATAAAATACAACTAACTTATTACTTTACTTGGGAAATCTATTAACACCATAACTTTGTTGTAATCTTCGTTTTCTGGAAAGGTAAAAACTGATTTAGTTCTGGTTTAATATCTATTCATTATTTTTGCATCATGGTCGGAATGGTGGTAAGTAATTTTACTAAAATTGGTTCTAAAGTTTTTAACTGTTTAGTTGTATTTGTCTTGAAAGAAAACTACGTGCTTGTTATTTAATAATTTTATAGGTTATTTTGCATTTGGATTTAGTATGGCTTAAACAGATTTCTGTTATCAGCTTATCCAGTTATGCTATTCATTATCACCATCTTTATTTATTTTGCATTTTAATGTCGTCATTGGCTGTTTAGAATATCACTTTTGTTTCTGACAGTTGTGGTTTATCCTATAAATGCATCAGGGCCGGTTCTAGATACTTTTCTAGCTTGAGTTTTTATTATTCTGCCACGATTGCAGAAGATGATGATAATGTTTCCGTTACCTCGGAGAATGAACACATAAATTGGCCACTATCACGGGAGATCATGATGATTTCCACATGACCACGGGTGTTGACCAGAATTTTGTTGTAATTTGCAGGAATCAATAATGATGTCTACACATGGCCACAGGAGATATTTGTAGTGTAATATATTCAATGTCTCTGGTCTCCTTTAATACTGAACACTGGACAGCGCTTGGACATTGCGCTTTAACAGCATCTTTTGCTTGTCACGCAACGCAACCCCATACTCTTCTTACCCCTTAAACCGGCCCTGAAATGCATCAAAGTTATATTTATTTGTTCGGCTGTTTTGTTAGAATAAATGTAGATTTCATACATTCAATTTTATAACCTACAGATTTGTTGAGGTTCAGTTTTAAATGGAAACAAAAAGAACATTTTTTGGAATATATCATTAAAATGATGAATGTACTCCATGATACTTGTGATAGATTGTTCAAACAACTTTGTTAAGTTCCTTAAATTAAAATTAATGTTGAAAATAAAAAGCCTCTAAGTCAATAACTCTTGAGCACTGTTCCTTAGACGACCAAATAATGTACTCGTCACTTTGAAAAGGTTGTCAAGAGTTCAAATACGAAACCCGGACACATACAAAAACATTAACAGTAACATTCATAATTGTGTATAATTGTACGAGATCTGATGATGAGGACTTAAGTCCTCAAAACGTGTAATCCCTAAGGACTGGTAGTACTCAGGTAATTTATACCTTTTAGGGACGGTTTGGGAGCTCGAGCCCAGCTAGTACGCGCCTAGTGTTAGACGCGCCTAACTTTAGTCCCCGGACAAGAAACCAGGCTTGGGAGCTCGCGCCTAAGTTGAAATGGTCGTAGATCAAGTATAGTCGCGCCTAAGTTGCAGCGCAGCTAGATGTACAGGGAATCGCGGGGAATTCAGGTTTTGACGTTGGCAACGGCCACTGCAGAGCACGTTACCGTTGACAACAACAAACGGTGAACAATTAAGATGGATACAATTTTATCTTGGTATATCAACGGTGGCTAATTAGTAGACTATGGTTTAAGTTTCTGCATTGTACCATTGCAAAAAGTTAGTTTTGTAAGATCGTTGATTTACATCTCAATGACGGCTATGTTTTATCTCTGGTACTACACCTTATAAATACGTACAGAGCAGCATAGGCTTCTGAAAATTAATATTATTTCTTTCAGAGATCAAAAACATTAGGTAGCCTAATCATTCAACAATGATTACCCTGTGTGTGGAACGGTAACATCTGAAACTCGGTTTCATGCAATAAAAAGCTTAAAAACTAAACAGTAATTGCCCTGTATAATATATGGATATTGACGGAAATAACATAAAAAGTATTTTAAGTAATTGCGGAGGTTATGATAGTGTGAAGCAAATGTATATCTGTTAATACTTACAAAAAAATTTTTGTATGTAAATTAAAAAAATTTTAAACATGACACTCTTTTATCTAACTTTCCTATAGTGAAGTAGCTATATCACTTAGCTATAGCTATAGCACTTAGTTCCGGGACCGATATACTTTTCCATTTTGATGTCCCTAGAGGCCAAAAACATCCCCTATTCGTTCGTTCCTATTCGTTCAAATGTTTATATATGTATAGCCAATACATTATAAACAAGTCCATGAACGTGACAAATTGAGTAATTTTTGTCTGATTTTGATAAAATTTGGCATGAAAGTGTAAGGTGCGATAAACCCTAATAAGTTCGCGAACCAGCATGATCAGACCATGTGAACCCGGGGTTTTATGGGATAAAAATAGTTTTTTTCTCAATTTTAACCCCTAAAACATAAATCTTTATCTTTAAAATATTTGAAAGAGTATAAAAAACAAATTAGTATCTTAAAATGTTTTGTACGGTTATTGGCTACAGAGACTATTCAAAAATCTTAAATTAAAAACTCCCATGTGATTCTCATGGAGAATAAGTTAACTGTTGTAGTTTTGTAGTTTATGGATATATTTTGATGAATCTTGGCAAATTTATTTATTTTATATAAAGTTGTTAGTATTTTGGTAAAAAACACACTTTATTGCCCTCCCTGTAGTAGCATACCTACACGTAGGTAGTTTTAGTTACTTGTTAAACCTAAAGCTATTTAAATAAATTTAATTGAAAGTCCTATTAGGTTATTGGATATTCGCTTAGTCTGTAGGTTTTCTGTGGCGGGATTATTGATTTACTGTATATATTTTCTTATACTCCAAATAATCTAGGTACTACATTTTGATGTAACTAGCACTTGTCAATGACACTGAACTGAGCTCAATCACAACGCAATAGAGAAAAAGAAAATGATTATGACCCGACTGTGAGCTATTTGCAGTTTTTTATGTTTTGTTTATTATTTATCTCTTCACTTTTCGGTTAGGGGTGAGTGGGGGGGGGGGGGGGTATGTATGTGGTTGCTAATTTTTTCCTAGCTAATAAAATGTTTATAATTAAGGTACGGGTGCTTATAACCAAACTCTCAGTTGAAATAAATTCTATTCAGGCTCTACATTTTTATTGAAGTTAACAGTAAAAACAAAAACAAAATAATATTTCGTTAAATTACTTCCCGCATGATTTTTTTTGTTTATTTTGAACAACAGAAACCTAAAAAAAACTTTTATCAAATATACTTTGAGGGTAATGAAATTGTTCGGAATTTAATAACGAATTCCAATATAACATTCTTTTACTTAATATGTAAACAATTAACTTGCTAATGAGCTAATACCGGCATGATGTCGACTTAGACCTGCCCCCTGGCAGGACTAAAGTTGGGGACTAAACTCACTGATTTTTATGACGAAAACATATCTCTTAGTCCCGAAATTGGTCTCCCAAACCCACCGAGACTATCTCTTAGGCTGGCGTCTAAGTCTACTTGACTCCCAAACCAACAATATTTAGGCGCGAGATTATCCCTGCACAAGTTAGGCGCGCGCCTTACTGATCCTGAGCTCACAAACCCGTTTTCGAGGCGGCAGCCTAAAATACCGGAAATATCCGGATTTAGTCGCGGACTAGCGCTAATACCGAGCTCCCAAACCGCCCCTTATAGTTTGTTCAGTGATCCTGAGACAAAACAACTCAAATATGAAGTCGTCTACTCGGTTCTTTATTCACTGTGCAGTGTGGATGAGCTGTCATAAGACACTTTCAGCGACACTTGCCGCCTAAAAACTCAGGACATTTAACAACTTACAAAAATAAGTAAAATGTTTCTTTGCATTTGTGCTTACGAGGCTTGCAATGAACACACTCACTGCAAAATAAATATGATATTTCCTAGTAATGTTGTAAGAACATTACTTCTCCCACAAAACCTGCACTTCACAGTGCATGCGGAATTGAGTAGTTTTATTGCAAGGTTTAGGCTTCTATCATAGCTACACCCTTATGTATATATGCAAGTGATCATAAAATAAAACTTTTAAGGATTAATTGCAAATGTGAGTGTTCCTGTGCAGATTCGATGGTGGAGCGTGTCCTGCCGGAAGACTGGGACCACTTCCATGTACTGTTGGAGCAGTTGTTACACAGGGTCCCACGTCTTGGTAGCGCAGTCCTGCACAAGCTGACCAATGGACCAGAGGCATTCTCTCCTGACTGCAAGTGGATCATTGGAGAGGCTCCGGAGGTGAGTTGGTGGTTCCTGTGCTTGGTGAATGATTGACAAAGAATGACTATACAGGGTGGTCATAAATTACTGGACACATTTTAAGATAACATAAACCAATAACCAAGCAACTTAGAAACTTGGGAATTGTTTTATTGAATGGCAAATTTAAAATAGTTTTATACAGTAACTACAAAACAATAATTACATGAATGTCAATGATTATAAAAAGTGGTTATACAAAATGTGCAAAAATCACTCAAACAGTTTGTGTAAGTTTTTTCCTTAATGACTCGTGTTGTGGCATATACAGCATGGATAGCATGGCATAGTTAGCATGGCAAAACCAACAATGGATTTTTCTACACCAGCTGTGTATGATATTTGGTGAATCAAACCTTAAACTGACTTAAAAGTAACAATTTTACTAGGGTTCAATAAAAAGCAAAGTCTTTGGTTTTATGAAAGTAAATCTGCAATAACTGTTCGAAGAAAGTTTTGTTTAGAGTATAGCCGTAATTCTCCGTGTAAAAATTTTATAAAATGGTGGTACAGTCAGTTCGAACGACTGGGAAGTGTCCAACATATAGTCTAAAGGGTCCTCATCTCAAAAGAACATAACTTACAATAACAGTTTAGGTGATTTTGACTGTGTTTTTATAACTACTTTTCATAATTGCTGACATTTTTATAATTAATTTTTTGTAGTTATTGTATAAAACCGTTTAAAATTTGCTATTTAATGAACCAATTTCCATGTTTCTAAGTTACTTGGTTTTTTATTTATGTCATCTTAAAATGTGTACAATAATTTATGACCACCCTGTAGTTCTGATAGCTATTTTGCTATCATTTCCATTCATGTTTTTCTGTAACTGATTGGTTGATACTATATGTATATATATCTATATACTATAATATAGTTGATATATTACTATAACTATATATGTATGTATATATATATACTATAAGTTCATATTTTATTTGGATTGTGGTCGAGTTTTGACCACTGGACGACATCAATTCTTATATTAAAGTACTTAACTCATTAAGGTACTTCAATAATACCTAAATGATAAATACCTTCTATTTAACTCAAATAAAACAATCTGGTATTAGGTATAGATGTATTTACTCAAAAACCTATTTCTATGATAATTTAGTCTCGAAATCCAAATGTTTAGACCTATCTATAGATTATATCCGCTTGTTTGGATCATACAAATCTAGATAGTATTTTTAAAATTTTAAATATGGTATTTTTTTATTAAACCCATTATACACTACAGACATTTTGCGTACAATTTACTTTGCTAACATACACTCTCATATTTGTTACGGAATAAAGATTTATGAGGGAACAAGTAATTGTAACTATAATCAAATTTTATATTTACAAATGAATGCTACAAGATGAAACCTTAACCTGGATTAATACTGTTTAAAATTTTTCCGAAAATAGGAGATGAAAAATAGTGAAAAAAAGGCACTACGACTTATTTGCGTTGTGCACCACGAATTTTATGTAGAAAAAATTTCAAAATTTCGTACATACAGCTGAAGAAGTTAAGACTAAATATTTTTCATAGTTTAGAAATTTTAAAACGTGAACTAATACTGTATTTCCTTAATATTGTTGTTGGAAGACGGCAATTGCTAAAATACTGTGCGCGTAAACTAATTCATTCATACCTCGTGGTGGTCATCTAAGTCGATTATTGGACAAACTAAAAGTCTTACGAAAAAATGTTTGGAACAAAAATTGAAGAACATCTTATTATCTATACTTTTCTCGCTGAAAGTTTTCATCTGACCAAAAAATAAAAATAATCCTCGCTCACTTACTTTTTCATGTTTACATTGAACAACCTTTTCATATTTTCCATTATTAAACATTAATCATCTGCACGAACTAAATTGTATTTATATAGTATTAAACATCAGTTTACGCAGAATTTAAATATGTAAATTTCATCCTCTCACTATTTGTATTACAATTTAGACGAACGTGCAAAGCGACAGGGAACGCACCACTTCGAATAATCTCGCCAACATCGGAAACTCTCTTCCAGCATGTGTGTGTGTAACGGGTGCGTGTGTGTGCGTACGTTATCGCTTCCTGCACGGACTGTACCCATTGTCACTTGGAGTTATGAAACTTGGTGTTATGAACCCTTGGAGTTATGAAACTTGGACTTGTGGTCCTTGCAAATCTGTACGTTTGGAGTTATGAAATTTTGTATTTTAATTTACTTGGTTTTATTTTAACTTGGACTTATGAATCTTGGAGTTATGAACGCTTGGAGTTATGAAACTTGGTCTTATGATATTTTGGTTTTAATTTACTTGGACATAATTTTACTTGGAGTTATGAAATGTTGTATTTAAAAGTACTTGGAGTTATGAAAACTTGGAGTTATGAACCTCACCCCATCAATCTCTAGGTAACTTTGGGCTACAACTGAACAAGTAATGAACAACCTGTTACAACCCGTTTCCTTAAGATATATACAAGTTTGACGTGTGTCATTTTGTACATTTTTCAGCTACGCAACTACCATGTGGTGGCTGGTATGAAGACTGTTGGCATCTCAGCCGCTGGAGGTGTAGGCAGAGCCACAGCTGAACGAATAATTACCGGTCTATTCCCTTACGATATGTACGAGCTTGACATCTGTCGGTTTCTTGGCCTACACAACAACCGAAAGTTTCTACGAGACCGTAGCAGAGAAGCCCCTGGTTAGTTTTTGTTTTAAATGTAACCTACATAACATTTTTTATCAATATATCAATTATAAATCTATTTTAAATATTTGAGATAACTAGTTTAAGATAACTGGGAAAAATACCCAGTTCCGCAAAAAATACCTTAATCAAAGCATTGTATTGGATCAATTGAATACAAAGTACCGCTGGTGAGAGAAAGATCCTGAATGAAAACTGGCATTGCGCTAAACTATGCAATTGGCATGGTAGTGTCTAGCAGTGAGTCCCACTACCACTTGGAACTATGTAGTTTGCATTCAATATGATGACAAAAAATTCAAGTTTATTAAATTAAATGTACTCCTCAAAATTTGGAACCTAATAGACTTATTTTGACAATTTACTCCACACCAAGATCTCCAAGGAAAACAATGTTTGTAAAAGGTAAATAGGCTACAGATGAATGATGATTTCTACTTAGCGGTACAGTGGTGTCGTTGGTAGTACAGGTCTACACTATGCACTGCACTACCCGTTCAGAGAGTTCCGCACGGGCCGCAACCTTCGTATGTCTCCCATCTACCCCAGACTGAGGGAAGCGGGAGCTGTGTTTGGACAAGTCATGGGTTACGAGAGACCAACATACTTTGACCCTGACTACGGTAAGTAACTATAGGTCTATACTATGACTTATGCAAGACTTTTTTTTTCCTTTTTCAGGCATTCTATTACTAATCATACTGTCAAAGTTTAAACAGAATTGAGATGTATTTGAGCCGACTAAAGGCAGTTTAATTGGCAGAAACTAAAAGTTTCATTGACAAGAAATAAATAATAATCTTGAATATGATTATGGCATTAAGTTGTTATTTCAGTTTTGAAGCAGTTATACAAAATAAAATGTATTGAGCCTACATAACCTAGTTACATTGTTATTTGTTGTTAGTCAAGTTAGTTACTTAACGTTTACCTGCTATTACTTTTAGTATACAAACAGGAATTTTTATTTTTGCAAATTAGGTTTGTATTGACATTGTTCCAGTTGAGGAAGGCATGACCAAGGAAGGTCAACGACCTTACCGCATTGCTGAGACAAACACATTCGCCAAGCCCGACTGGTTTGACTTTGTAGCCAGAGAGTATGAGGCGTGCCGGGAAACAGTTGGTCTCTGTGACTATTCATCATTCACCAAAATCGACCTTTCGGTGAGTATGGGGGCAAATTGTGAATGTAGTACTAGGTAGGTCAGTGGTTTTGTTTGATGCTCTATGGATTTCAGATCGAAGGCAGCAATGTTTGTGAGTATCAAAAGCGACGATGTTTTCTTATGAAGCGGTCCTATTTAATCCCTGCGTTTGTTACTTTACTATCAATGCCTTAGTCTATGAATGGGGTTAGTTGTTGTGGAATAGTCCATGAAGATATGAGAAGTGATCGCTCTTTTACCTTCATTGCACCCTTTCAATAACGATAGTTGATAGAGCATGTTGCTAGTCTTGGTTAATGTCTCAGACTTTGGTTCAATGGGGATAGATTTGATCCTTTTCACATCCACAAATTTGAGATTTGAGATCAGTTCTGGGTTCTGGTAATTTTTGTGTTATGAATCCAAGGTGTGTGGGAAAAAGCAAAATCCTATTGGTTGAACTGAGTTTATTTACCACAATCCACAGATCCAATTGCAGAAATAATCCAAGAAATTGGTATAACGTTTTGGTGGTGGCTCTATGAATTTGAACTATTATTAGTGTGATTGTGGCGTTAAATCAGTTTGCTCAGCTTAATCAAGACTCCCTTGTGTTGCAGTCCAAGGGACGGGAGGTGGTGGATCTTCTGCAGTATTTGTGTTCCAATGATGTGGATGTCCCAGTAGGCAGCATCATACACACTGGGCTGCAGAACAATAGAGGTGGCTATGAGAACGACTGCAGCTTGACGAGGCTGTCAGAGAACCAGTAAGTTGAGTTTGTTTTGTATTGAACAATTTGATATTCTTTGATATGACTGTTTAAGGGTGTCATGCTAGTTATTGGTGTCTAAAAAAAGTAGAGGTCTACATTATTATTTGATTATTTTTCCTCTTATTAAAATGACACACTTTTAAAAGTTGTACTGTTTTATATCAAACACATGTTTTGTGATGCCTCGATTCCCAAAATTTAAATTCACTGAATCTAAAAAAATTGCCTGTGCTGCCACTACTCGTTTGTTTGTTCAAAACATTTAAAGTGGTGGTATTTGAATACGGATGTTGATCCCCCAAAGGAAAACTTGAGAACTTTAAACATTTTTTTAAATTTTATATATTTTTTGGGTAGGTATCTTGAGATGTTTTTACAACTGTGGAGAGTGATAATAATGTTGCCGTGATGTCAATTTGTTTTGATTCTGGCTTAAAAACCATTTAGAAGAGAAATTTGAGTTTTTCAATTGATTCAAAGTAAAATTAAGAATAATGAGGATAAATAACTGTTGTGTAGTCTGTATTTTATTTCGTAAAATTTCTGTTTGAAATCGAGATATGGTGTTTGATTATTTTAGATTCAGGTTTGGTTTGAGATTGCAAATCCTCGATGTTTACCATTATTAGGCCTAGTTAGGTTATAAACCCCATTTTGGTAGATATAAAAAAATGTCATTGTGTAATCCAAGATGTGTGTTTACAGTTACATGATGATTGCACCCACCATCCAACAGACCAGGTGCAAGACGTGGATAGAGCGACATCTCCCATCAGACAGCTCAGTGTCCCTGTCTGATGTCACGTCAATGTTTACAGCTATAGCCATCATCGGACCCTTCACTCGCACAATGCTGTCAGAACTCACGGACACTGACCTGTCTCCCAAGTCATTCCCGTTTTTCACTTACAAGGTAGGTAGTGAAAAGTCACTCACTGATTTTACTACAGAGTCACTGAAATCAGTTAAACGTCACTCACTGATTTTTTAGAGGGTTGCCAGTGAAAGGTCACTCACTGAATTTACTGCAAATTCACTGAAACCAGTTAAACGTAACTCACTGATTTTTTAGAGGGTCACCAGTGAAAAGTCACTCAATGATTTTTAGTGGGTCAAAAATGTAGTCACTCACTGATTTTACCAGTAGGTCACACATTGATTTTATTATGGGGTTACTTAAGTTATTGAATAGTCACTAATTTACTTTGTCACTGAAGTCAATGAAAAGTCACCAACTAATTTTACTAGGTTATCTCTTTTTCAGTGAAAAGCTACTGATTTACCAGTGAAAAATCACTCACTGATTATTAGGGATTCACCTAAGTTCCTGAAAAGTCTCTCACTGATTTACTAAGACATCTCTGAAGTCGTTCACTGATTGTACTAGGGCTTTGCTGGAAAGACCATTTAAGATTTGTTTATTTTGTTTTGCACAGGAGTTGGACGTGGGATTAGCCAATGGGATACGCACAATGAACATAACCCACACCGGTGAACTGGGATATGTTTTGTACATACCAAATGAGGTGGGTTAATATATTGAGCAATAAATGATAACAGGCTTTAGAACTTTCTTACCTTAGTTTATCTTCCATAAATATTTTTAAGCTTGTTTGTTGCATGGTAGAAAATAGACACCTGTTAGTCAGATAGCTGATGATATTTAAGTGCCTTATAAAGGTCTTTTTACTTTTTATCTAAGTAGGAGACTCAAGTTGCCTAGTTGTAAGTTGTATCAAATAGTTAAATAGTAAATAAATACCTTTTTCCTAACGTGTCGATTAATTTTTTCCAGCGACCACATCTACATTAATCATATCCCTTTGTACCCTAATGTTTGGTTATCCATTTTCCATTTTCTTTTGTCACACAAAAGATTTTCAAAATGTTGCCCTTGTACTACATCATAATCTTATTGTTGGTCACTATATTTGTAGGAATTCATTTACAATAGTTTCACAATCCTCTTAAAATGTCTTATGATTTACCAACTGTAACTCTTTTTTTACTCAGTTTGCGCTCCATGTGTACAACAAGCTACTAGAAGTAGGTTCCAAGTACAACATACAACACGCCGGACACTATGCCACCAGAGCTCTGAGGATAGAGAAGTTCTACGCCTACTGGGGCCAGGACCTGGACACTACCACAACACCTCTGGAGTGTGGAAGGTCTTGGCGTGTCAAGTTTGATGTAAGTTACCAAACAGGCTTTGATGTATAAAATATCACAAGCTTGTTGTAAGGTATGCAGTTGGTGTGTTTGTGTTATGTAGAACAATAATTTCATTTTGAATATGTAAGATGAATTGGAGAAGTAATGTCTCAACAGTGAAGTTTAATGAGTTTAACAAATTAAACTTGGTGAATTGAAAGAGATAGTTCATCAGACATGACGTCCTCTTCTCCCAAAGGTTTCTTTCTTTTTTTAGAGTTCAAATAAAAGGTTTTAACCCCCGTTGTACAAATACAGGTACATTCAAGTGACCACAGGTTTAAATTTAAAAGATTCAGTTTGAAAAACTTCTGGGTTTAAAACCATTAGTTTTTTAACCGTTTAGGATAAAAACGAGGTATTTTCAACCTCTAAGTTGAATTATATGCGATCTAGAGGCTCAAAATGTTCAATTTAGAGTTTACAACTAACACATAGACATGTTGACAGAAAGGAGAGTTCATCGGACGAGACGCTCTGTTGCGTCAGAGGGAGGAAGGGGTGAAGCGGATGTACGTACAGTTGCTGCTGCAAGACCACGACCCTGACATTGAACTGTGGGCGTGGGGAGGCGAACCAATCTTCAGAGACAATAAGTATGTGGGTGCTACCACAACTACTGGCTACGGTTTTACACTCAAGCGAATGGTATGTTGATCGTGTGATTGTTTAATATGTTGTCTAATTTGTGATTCTAAATGTTTTTTATTTTTATTTAACAGGGTTTTTATTCAGTTTATCTTCTTTCCATCAGGGAAATCCAACTGAGTCTTGTTTCCATTCACTTTCACACTTAATTAAGTTGTGTTCCGATTTACTAATGTATGCTCACATTTTTATTTAATAGTCATTTAACACGTTCAGTACTGATTACATCAATTGATGTAGTTGCGCAACCACCACATTAGTTCAGTATGAGCTCAGCCATTGCCGGGGAACGTTAAAATCGTTACTAGCCTGTAGCTTAGAATGTGGGCTTTAATTTGATTTCCTGCAGTTCTTGGTCCGCTGGGTCTACTTCCCTCGAAAGTTCCATTCAGTTTATTTTACAGTTTGATTGTCTTCTCAGTTCTTTTTTACCATGTTTAAAACATCTAAAATAGTCAACATTGCAACTTGGTATTATGATCATTGATCTCATTACAGGTGTGTCTGGGGTTTGTCCAGAATTTTGATGGTAAAGGCGACACACAGGTAGTTACCAATGAATATGTCTTATCAGGCTCTTACGAAGTAGATATCGGTGGCATCAGGTACCCAGGTAAGTCAGAAATTCTTCCAGTTACAGTTAGGCTGTAGCTTTACGTTGGTTATCCTATTATTATTATATAGAAGCGTGGCTTCTAGTCCCATAATTTTACTGAAGTCACTGATTTTACTTGGAGTTATGGAAGTCACTTTAAAGAACCCGATTTAAGTGAAAAATAGCATTTTGAGTGGATTACTTTTATTAGGGCCACAAAACTCAAACTGTTAAAATTTTGCTAAAAATGGTTTATTTAAATAATTGTTTTCACTAAAATTTAAGGCACTAGGAAAACAACATAGCTTACTATCAAAAAAAAAAAGCATTATTTGATTATTAAGTTATTTGAAAAAAATATTTGATACATATAAGTTTTAAGATTATGTATTTAGTAAAAACAAAACATTGAAGATAATCCATTAATTCACCATAACCTTCCTGAACTAGTTAAAAAAATATTCAATATTTGCCATCTAAATTCAAACTTAGGAATACCACTTCAGTGATTTTTATATACAGTAGACCCCCTCTTAACCGACCTCGTATTAACCGATAATCGGATTATCCGCCTTAAATCGTAAAATAATACAGTTTGTTTTAACCGACCTTGCTTTGAGAGCAGCTCGGTTTAACCGCCGCTTTCTAGGAATCTCGGCATTTCCGCTCCCACGCTGGGCGATGAGAACTGATCCCTACGCTTATCTCCACAGGATATGACTAAGAATAAGTTATTTTGTGTTTATCACAAAAAATATAGCACAGCCTATTGTCAGTTTGTCATCATCGTTCGTAGCTCGAGCGCATCTGATCTGTTTGTTATCTGTGCGGCAAATTTATAACATCGTAAAGTGCGTTACAATTTTGAGAACTGATTACCTTATCGCTGAAGTAAACAAACAACGCAACTTGTAGGGAGGGCAGGGGGGGGTTAACAACTCCAAGGTCAAGATAGTTTTTGTGCCTCGAGCCTCCAGTGAGAGGCTATAAATAAACGTCCTGTCTTGTAACAAAATGGTTGCTTGTATCTTTAATTTTGACAAAAGGTTCTGTACTGTATTACGATGGATTTGTAAAGCATCAATTAATAAATTACAGTACTAAAGTTATTAAAATAGGAATTTTATTGACTCTTGCCTAGTATTATAATATATTCCACTGAAAGTAGGCCTATTTGACTTAACCGTGTTTTGTGTTTATTAGTGACTTTTCTATCAATACGAAAAAGGAGACAAGAGTAGTTTATTTTATAAATAATGCAATTATGATTTCAGAATAGTGATTATATAATTCCAAATGAATATCACTTCATTATGTTATGATTTTAGGGATTGTCCGTTTTATCCGACCTTTTGAGTTATCCGACCTAGGTCCGGTCCCATTAGGGTCGGTTAAGAGGGGGTCTACTGTATTAGGGCCTAATATAATAAAACCTAGCACTAATGATTTTACTCTTACAAACTCTACATGTCAAAAACAGAGTTCATAGGCAAGACACGTTCCTGGTGTATGCCTCGGTATGTGCGATCTCACACAAAGTCTACCCTTGCTTAATCTACCAAATAAAGATTCTGACTTTCAATTAAACTGTTTTAATTTCTACGAATTCAAAACTATTATTATTTATCGTCCTTTGACCAAATGTATCAGACATAAAACTTGGAATTTTGTACAAATATTTGGATGTTTACACCTTGATTTTCTTCAGCCAAGGTCAATCTACACTCACCCAACTTGCCTACCAAGTACCCTGACCAGGAGAGGGAAGGATACTTCGCCACCAGAGACAAGATGGTGACGGAGCCAATTTTGAGGGCGAATATTACCAAATGACCCCGGCCAGTGACGCCAACACGACAACGATAAGTTCCTTACGTCTGGTGAGCGTTGTCCACTCGTACAAGGACTAGATTTAAAACTTTTTTCATATTACAAGGATAGGTGTCATAGCAGGATGCCAATCTGGATAAACATTGCAGATGCTATTGTGAAGTTCATTTTTAAGGTACATAATTTGCCCTAGGTGACATTATTTTGAGCTAAATTTGCCTTTTTGAAGGATTCTTTTTTGGCTTTATTCTAAATTTGATTCTGAAATCTCATATTTAGTTATACCTGCTGTTTGCTTACACAAACGAAACCGACGTTTTCGTTAAAAGAATAAACATGATAGAATCTGATTAGGTTCAAGTACTAACATTTTTTTTTAATTTCCAGGGAAATTTTCATATCTGATTTTCGTGTGGGATTAAAAAATGATGGGATTTTTTTATTTTTCCATTCTGGCATTATGCATTGTTCATTATTGTCATCGTAGGAAAAGTTCAGGATGTTGCTATGATTGTGAGAGATGATTTTTCTGTTGTTTCTGTTTCTAAACTGCCAGCAAACTTGTTGAGAACGATAAAGTTCCATTTTTTCATGTTGGGAGATTGACAAAAATTATAAATCAGCAGAGTTTGTCCAAAAATATGGGATGTTAACAAAAATTTTCCACAAAAAAAGTGTGTTTCAAGAAAGAATTTGCTTTATTGTTATTGACTAATTATTGTCAAAAAGTAAAATCAGAAATTTATTAAATGTTTTATTATGCACCTACATTTGCAGAACACAGAAATCACAAGAAAGATTCTTTTTGCAAGTATTTACATCTAGTCCTTGTATTATATGTGATAAACCTGTTTTATAACTTTGAAAAAGTTACTCAAAAGTATATATCAAGTTGCATATGGTATTGAAGAAAATTTAGTTTTTTAAAGCATAATGAAATTGTGCTGACAATATTCAGTTGTTATTTAGATTTATGTCTTAATAGTAGTTACCCAATCAAAGTAAAATTGTAAAATTAACGCTTTAAAGCTTCTGAAAATGTATTTATTAGTATTTTGAAAACTATAACTATACAGTTTTGGTGTATAGATAGAGATTAAACAAAATTAATAGACTTAATCTTTCTTTCATTTGTCTATTTTTTTTACTGAATATTTTCCATGCAAAGTACATTTTAATGTAAATTAAACTACAAACTATATTTTCAACATAGAAATCAAATTTACGCACATGTAAATATGACTGATAACTTTACAAATCCGTCTTACTTCCAATTAAAAACAGTTCAGGAACTTAAGTGTTAATGTTAAATGTTAGAAGTCTATTTTATGTTTGTTGACTACTGTTGATTAAACTTACACCTCTTCCACTTTGTAGAAGTGATATGTTAAGAAGTGCCAATGTAAATTTATGTTAGATAAAAAATATGTTTTTGTATTACTACAATGTACTGATTGATTTCAATTTTCAGTATACTAAGAACATTAGAGTCGTATTATAATTTCATTTGTTGTTCCATTATACTGATACTTCTAATCTAAACTATGAAAATCCATATAACTATAAAATCCATTGTACCTTTGAAGACTTGATTAGCGTTTAACAAACGCAAAATTAAATATTTCATTTTTGTACAGTGTTGTGTTACAATTCCTTTAAACGAATATAAAAATATTGTAGCTGTACGTTTTTTAAAGGGAATGTAAGAATGTCAGCTTTGAATATATAAAGTCTACTATATTACGCAAATCCTGAAGCAGTTAAATGGCTAGTAAACCTTTTGAAGTTAGTAAAAGTAGTTTTTACATTTTGCAGACAATAAACTAAACGCTTAGTAGTTGTATGTACAATACTTGAAAAGGTGCTTGTAATATGATTTTTTATTTATGGATCACCTAGCAAGTTTCATCTGATAATTATTAATCTTTTCTCAGCCCAATATTTCTTAATTTGTTTTAATCTTAATTTTCATTCTAGCCTCTCTCATTTTTGTGGTGATTATGTGTTTGATCACATTGTTACCTTAAATGTTACTGTAGTAATTAAACCAATAGAACTCAGAATAAAACTTAAGTTTATTTAATCACAACTTTGTAATTTACTCATCTAATTAACTGAAACTAGTTTAAACACAATTTAATCTCATGTCAGATTTCTGAATCTGCATGATGTTTTCTAGATGTTCTATCACTGTTGCATTTATTATATGAAATTTTCCTATAACCATTATGTAACAAAGTCAATTTAAAACTGCAATAATAGTTTACCAATATAAGTATCTACTGTCAATGGTTGATAGTCCTACTTTTACTTTTGTGCCAGTGTTATGATGACAATGTCTTTTTTGAAGACGTATATGTTAACTATATTCTCTCAATTTACTATCTGAGGTTTGAATTTGAATCTAAGATTTTTCTGCCTAAAATAGGTTTGTTACCGTTATTATCACAGATGTGGTATTTTTATTTAGTATTTTAGTTCTTATTTACCCATAACAATGCTGCTAATTTTACATGCAGAAAGACGAGCCAAGATTGAGATTCTTAAATCAACTGTTAACAAGTTGGTATTTTCTCAAATTATTTTCCTGTATTTTGGAAGTTTCACTGAGTTACATAAAAATAAAATGTACAATAACTTTCTAAAAATACAGGTTACAAAAATATATTTCTTTAGTTTCCTGAAAGGTTTTTGTGATCTGTTACATTGTTTTATGTAGTAGTATGTTATATTTCATAAGCAACGTTGATTTACATGTTCTTTGTAGCCTCTGTGATTTGTAATAATCTAAGTCAAACAAAAATAAATTTATCAATAAATATGTGTTTTTTTAATCCAAAACCTCTTATTTTTTTTACAAAATCAAGTGTGATGCCACCAGCTTGGTTACTAATTAATTCATACAGAGGCTTCAATGTTTGTTTATAATTTATAATCAATCACATAAATTCTTCTACAATTAAGAATGAAAAAAATCCTAGAAAAGGGTTTTGTAGTTTTTATAAATAGTTTTCTTAAGAGCTCCCTTATATTTGTATTAGATTTAAATTTTGTTGTTCCTAATAAATTTATTTTAAAAAATTTAACCATAACAAATATATAAAATCTCTACTGCTCAGTGCTCGCTGCTACACTTAACAAATGTTTTAAGCGAAAACATTTTGTTTGATAAGGAAGGGTTCCAATTTTCAAAAGTGTTTATTTTGGCAGAGACAGAGCCAAACCCCAATTAATGATAAGTAAATAGACTTACTCTAAGATTGTGAACACAAGCTCCAGTGTCTTACACGCCAAAGCCTTATTTATAGTTAAGTACTCTGATACACTTAATTACTGTATGACTTGGGGTTTTTTTATATCAGTATTAGCTATATACCAAACAGTTAAATCAAAAGGTAAGTGTAAGATTATACATACATCTATGTGCAAAAACAATTTGATTCTATCACATTGATACAGATACAAATCTATTGATTTGCTATAGATAATGTATATGCCATACATAAACTGTATATTTATTATTTCTATCAATCTTAATTTAGGTATTATAATGTTATTTATCGTGTGTTCATTATTCCTGACTACTCTGAAATTAAATACTTGCAATGTTTTTATCAACCCATCTCCAGTTACAATGTATAATGGTATAATTAATTGAATAACAAATTTTCTGTTGTTAGAGTTAATGTTTTGCAATAGGACTGCCAAACTAATAAAAATACCCCCGCCGCAGCAAACCTGCAGACTTAGCGAATTTCCATTTGCCTGATTGGATTTACATTAAAATGTCTCCTTAAAAATATCACATTTTATTCCCTATTTAACTATAATTAGTTTAACGAGTACTTAGGTTTGCTGCAACAGGGAGGGTAAAAAAGTGTTTTTTGTTGTAAAATCTTAATAGTTTAGGAAGAAATTAATGTATTTTCCAAATTCAAACAAAATTTGTTCATAAACAAGCAAACTACAACAATTGACAGTTGACTTATTCTCCATAAGAATAACATGGAAATTTTAGATTTACAATTTTTTGGAATTTTCTCTGCAACCATTAGGCGCATAATAACGCTTCTTTTTTTTTTGCTCGTATCGGCATTTTAGTAATGTAGTATGAAGTCACAAACACTTTTAAGGGAAAGCGGTCCAAACCCATTAAGTTTTGTGGATGTGCCAGGGATTGAACCCGTCCCTCCTGCACCGAAGTCCGAAACGCTAACCACTAGGCTAGCAACACACCCAATATACTAATATACTAAATATTCAATATACTAAATTATTTGTTTTTTTAAGCTCTACAAAATGGTTTGGAAAGAAATTGTGAAATTTAGGGCCAAAAATGGAAAAAATCTATTTTTACACCATAAAACCCTCCATAAACCCCTGTTCCCATAGTCCGATCATGCTGATTCGCGAACTCGTTCGAATAAATGTAGGTTTACACGTTTGTACCAAATTTTATCAAAATCGGATCATTTTTGCTCGAGTTATCGTGCTAACGGACACATATATATGAATTTGAACGGATGGTGTTTTTGGCCTCTAGGGACCTCAAAACGAAAAAGCAAATCGGTCCCGGATCCAGGTCTTGCCATGAGTACTACGGTAATAGCTTATTCCCTATATGGGAAATTCGCTAAAAGATATCCACTACAAACTCTCAATAAATAATGCAGAGCTTTTATTATTATATTTAAAAAAAGTTAAAAAAATAAAATTATCACCATTATGTATGATCTAATAGAAATTGATAACTGAAATAACTTTCAAGAACAGTTCAGTTTTTAAAAGGAAAGGATATTACATATATGTTACTTATATGTATATAATCTATTCCACTGAATTAATCAAACAGATTAAGTAATGTAAGTATAAGCACTAGAAACGTATTTCACCAATATCATATCCATTATAAAATGTTTCAAAATTTAGATTTTCAAAATTATTTATAAAAAAATATTGGGGGATGGAAAGAACCCTTGCCTCTGATCAAAGATACAACTGTTTTTAAGCATTTAATTGATCTGTTACCCTGAAATATAATTCTATTAATTACTGTAATACAAAGACAAAGCATTATGCACACCCAAGTCACTAATAACAGACCTAGTCCACTAGGCTTTCAGTCTGTGTTGGCTTATTTCCTGAATGTTATTTGCACAAGTTATCACATGTATAATTTTGTCACCCATTTATTTCAAAGTAGATTTTTTGCAAATAATTATAAAAGTTAAGATTTGTTAGTTTCACTAGGAAGTGTATTTTATTTTTGTAACCTTTTACTACTTTTCAATAAATAACAGTTTGATTTGATGATTATTAAAAAAATTGTGACTAAACACCCTAATATCGACTGTATGGAAACCTCTATCTATTTTTTCACCACTTATTTCCAATTCGAATTTTTGTTGCATTAACAAGATTAAAACGGTTTGTTTCAATTGTTGTCTTTTGACTTGTTGGAAATATTACAACTTAATTGATAAAAAAAAAAAAACAGTACATGACCAGAAACTGTACCACGACTTTTGGACCTCTGTGCTGTGAAGATCCAGTCATCCCTCCTCCCCTAACCTCAGCCACCTGACGGATCCAAGATGAGGTCAGGGCCGCGCGCGTGCGTGGGCAGGTGCGTGCGAGAGTGCCCGGGCTATGTACCCCAGTCCGGTGCGCGCCCCCACCGTGGTGTCACCATCACCATGAAGCCTAACTATGAGGACATCCCTCTCACCAGCTCAACACACGGTCAGTTGACTCAGAGTATGGTAGAGTAGAAAGCATTTTTAAAGGGAATAATAAATACATTTTTTTTGAAATTTCTATGCTTGTTGTCTGGTGTCAAAACACGTATGTTTCTTAATTTTTTTTTTCAAAAATTATTTCGCGTTTAAAATTTTATAATTTTAAATGTTTAAGGAGTTTTTATGTACTTAGTAAAGAATATATTTTATAGTAATGTTCCTAAAGAGCTTCTTGGTTGGAAATTCTTAAATATAAGGTTATTGTCAAGGTATTGAAACAATAACTATGTTTTTAACATTTTTTTAAAACCACGTATTAATTCATATTTTACGTGTTTTGAATATTAAAGGATGTTGTAAAGTGTTTTAAGATTATATTGTTCTGATAATTTACTCAAATAACTCATTGTAAGATAGTAAACGCTTTTTCTCACATTTCGTAAGCTTTTATAAAGTGTTTAAACTACTTTCCCAATCATTTGAATAAAAAATAACATCTACTTAAAAGATTAGCATTTAATAGATTGATTTTACATGTTTCCACAATTTTTCATTGTTGTTATGTATTTATTTGATGAATATGCCACAAAATAATTTTCGTTGCTAACTTGTTGATTGGCATTATCGTATTGTGAAAATGTTTACGGATGTTGACAAGGAGTTAAAATTTAATTTAAATGTAGGCCTACATATTTCTTAAATAGATTCTGTATAAGCACTTTTATTCGTTTAAGGATATTTATTATAAAGCGTTGAAACGAAACGGTCATTAATTGTTCTAATTGTGTTTTATAGTAACATCTTTATTTGCAATAATGCGTTTTTAAATTGTCTAAGGATATCGTAAAGTGTTGTAACGATAGATTTCTAAAAGTTTGTCTAGAAAACTTTTTGATTGGAATTATCGTGTTTGAAAACGTCCAAGAAGGATGTACACTGTCGATTCAATATTAATGTTACATAACAATAACATATTTCAGTTTAAAAACATTATTCGTTATATATAGGCCTGGTACGGATTACAAAGTCTAAATTTTTATCCTGTGCCGTAATTAGACAACTAGTTAAACAATTAACAATAGTAAAATTTTTAAGGTTGTAGAATATTAGGCCTATAATTGTTTGAAACACTATAGATATGTGTAACTTTTTCTATCTTAATGGTCAAGTTTTACGTGCATTAATTAACTATTATTATTATTATCATTAGAGTAAACGAGTAGCTTGCTATGCTCCTTAATCAACATAATATGAAATACAGTATCGATGATACTATATTACCATAGATTATATTATATTCAAATGAGTTTGTAAATCAACTTCGCCATGGAATATGTTTGAATGGTGGAGGGACGGTTCGTTGTCAAGAAATCGGGTTTCGATTTTTTCCACAACCCTTAGAAGTATAAAATTTGTTATGCTGTATTTATGATATCAGGTTACATAGCGAACTTAATTAAGCGGAGCGAGCGAAGCTCCTACACTCCTGCTTTTGTTTTACAAATATACTCCTCCTGAACGGCTGAAGAAAATCACGCGAAATTTACCACGGTCATAGTAACCAACCACAGCAAGGTATAATCTGAAATGGTACAAATCGGACCACAGGGCTTTTCCCTACGCGAATTTAAACGTTTATAACGCTATAACGTGCTATAACGCTCTCATTCAAAGTGAAGAAATGTGACTAAACCATCTAACACTAAAACACGGAATGGATCAAAGCAAAATGTACACTAAGCACACCATGTTAGCTTAGTAATGGAAGGAAGAATAATAGGAGGCATTTTTTAATAAGTGGAAAGGAGACAAAAGAAGAAACTATATAGGGCATTTTCAAGGTTTGTTTACACTCCGTTTTGAAGTACGGGTGAAGACTAACGTGTCCAAATACTTTCAATTTTCAATGCAATTTATCTTTTACACCACTTAACACTTTATTCAAAGAAGTCAGGATTAAGAGAATGAAAGGTATAAACTCATTCATATTTTCTATCTGGTCGAACTTGGAAATCGGATAAACTAAGAATGTTTTATTTTCCATTCAGTGAGAACACGTTTCTGCGCGAGGACGAACAAACACAAAAAGACTTTGAAAGTGTGCAATCGGGCTGAGCAGCGAGAGTCGGTTGTACGCTCAGCTCAACATTCAGCGCTCAACGCTCAACGCACAGTGTGCAGCGCAGTAGTGTATTTCCGGTGTGATAACATTCTGTCAGGGAACATAAATCATCTCGGCGCACATTTTGACACGACGGATAAGAAGAATTATTAACGGTTTTTGTTTGGGTGGAAATATTGTACTTAGCGCATATACTCGTAATATTCCTCAAAGCAAAGATAGCTGACTTTGTGGGAGGTATAGGATTAGATATAAATTATTTGATTATTGTAGGAAGTGTGTGGTTATTCTTATGAGTTCCAAAAACAATTTATATTTATTCCATATATTAAACATAGTCCTACTCCCATATGGATTGTTTATAATTTTAGACAGACAATTTTAAGGAACTGTTTCTGACCAATATGTGAATAACGCGTTTTAGTGTTTAGACCTACTGTTTATTAGCTGTTTTGAGAGTTTTAAATTGTATAAATAAATAACAATAACGTATGCCAATGATTAAGGGCAATTACTTCTTATTTTTATTGCATGCTATTTATCCACCTTTCACACAGTTTAATAGTTTTAACTGTATCAGGTGTTTATGATTGACTAGCTGTACCCGCGGGCTTTGCCCCGTTTAACTTCTTAATTTTCAAGATGAGCTCGTTCCCATGGCTTGATCACGTCCTGGTTGAAGTTCGTTCGCTACGCTCACTCACCTTTAGGTTGGAGCTCGTTCGCTGCGCTCACTTGCCTTCAGGTTAACTCGTTCGCTATGCTAACTCGCCTCCAGGTTGAAGTTCTTTGGCTACGCTCACTCACCTTTTTGTTGCAAATTAGCCGTGTCATAAATTTAAAAAAATAATAGTGCTGCACCCTGTTGGTAATCCTTGTAACTTAAATGCTATTAAACATCATAGAACAGAACCAACTTGTTTAATTGAAACAGCTGTTAAGATTCTTTAATTCCATTTAAATATGAGTACTCATAAGGTTAACATGGGAAACTCCAGAGCCACTGGGGCGGAGCCCGAAAGCCCGATCAGAATAAAAACTACTTAGTTTTCCTATTTAATGCCCAAAGAATCGGTGTACCGAATTTCAGCCTTCTAGGTAAATGGGAAGTGGGAGAATTAGTTATGAGTGAGTGAGTGAGTGAGTCAGTGAGGGCTTTGCCTTTTATATATATAGATTATTGATTGTCCTGTGCTGTTGTGACCAAAGAACAAAAGTTATCGTGAAATTATAGAAATTTTTTGTTTAGATCAGCACACTCAAAAGTAAACAGCAAGAAATATACCAAAATTGGCTTTAAAATTTACTATAGAATGAAAAGTCTACTAGTAACTAAATTTAATAATTCAACTTATTCAATTGTACACTTCCTCTAATCAGACCTGTTCTAGTATGGAATATTTATGTTTCCGTTGGAAAACTTAAGTAAAGAGATTATTATACAATTTTGAAGTCCACGATAAATGTGTGTTTTAATAAAAGTTGTATTGACAAAACTTTCTGTTGATTGAAAGGGACATTAAACATTATCCAATCATCATCACACTGCTTTATTATGCGTAACTTTGTCAATCACTAAATATCATCTATACGGCTTTGTTTCACAACGTGTCAATCAATTGTTAATGAGTTGAAGTCGATTAATTAGTTCGTTCAATATGTTTGTATGATTACTGATTATTTACCTATATGAATATATCTGTTCCTCTTTGCATAATTTAACTTTACAAATTGGCCTAGTCACTCAACTAACCAATTAACTACAGTTGAATATATACAATTTGATACCCAGATGTAGATGTTAGACGGACACAGTTACTCTCCATTGTGCCCAGCCTGTCAATCTGGGCTCCTGGGATGGATATTGTGTGGAAAACTATGTACAGTATATTTATTTTTACCTCGATGTCAATCTGTTTCAGTTTTTGGTGTGCAAATTTTAGGTATTGCATATCATAACAATCAGATGAGACTGGTAAACCTAACGTATATGTTTTCACACTTTACGAATAAAAGGGAAATTAACTCCATAGTCCATATTTATTTGGAGATTTTGGAGAAATAGTCTCTGGATCGTTATTGAATATTGTTATAATCTAAGCTTACAATCAAATTTATTTATCGTGGAGATCTAGGTTTATACGTCGGAACGTTATCGTCAGTCCTAGGCTAAGCCAAACTTTTTGTTTTTCATCTCTTACTTGAGATATTGTCGGTTGGATAGAATGTTTACAAATACTAACACTGAATATACATAAATATTTACAAAGACATAGTGGAGAACATAGATGCATGGCCATGATCTTTTCAATCCTAGCCTCCAAAGTTGGGAGGTTTAGGTACCTGGGAGGTAAACATATTTATATCCTTAAAATTGAATGTAAGTATCGATAGACTTCTATCAATACAAGAAGTAATTCGGTTGTCTCATTGTTTTTTGAAAGTCTAATACTGTAATTTGAATACCTTTATTTTCGAGACAAGAGTGATAAAACGTTTCTCAATGTAAAACAACCTAGGGTAGGAGCGATTGGTTCTACGTTCTAAAAATATGGTTTCCTTGTTGTTTTACGACCTGAAAAATAACTGATAACTTGTGGACCGGTACTTTACTGAGATGGGAGGGGTGACATTTCTAGTAAAAATAATTTGGGACTAGATTTATATTTTGATACGGTGCTTCCTCAACAATAACATGCAACCACGCAGTTTAATTACTTAGCTTTATCGTGTATTCATGGCGCTTCTATATCCGTGCGTCAACTCAGTAGTTATTTTAGCACGTATTCAATGAAATGATGTATCAGGTTGAGGATAAAAACTAGCTTTATAACTAACTATATATACTCGGCTTCTCGGCTTCGGTGTGTAGATAGAAAGTA